CACACACACACACACACACACTCTCAGATGCTGAGGGAGCAGGCGGCGGCGGCGGTTTCTCCTGGAGTCCTGCCTTCCATGTTTTTCTCTGGAGTGAAGGACGATCATCAGGATTCTTCTTCTTCTTCTTCTTCTTCTTCTCCTTCTTCTTCGTTCCTCCATCTCCAAACAGGAAGCTGTAAATAAGGTCATTTCTGTTCATGAACTGCTGAGTCACTTCACCTCCTCGTTTTTGTTTGCACTACTCTTCCAAGAAAAAGATTGAAACCCCGGAGCGAGCCCGGCCCGGAGTGGAGGGTGGATCCGCTCCGGTTTGAGGTGTTGTTCTTTTTTTAATGAATTTTGGAGAAACAGTAAATCTTCTCACCTTCTCGTCTTGTTCTCAGATGGATTCGATTTCTTCTACTCATGGTGAAACATGTTCTCTTGTGTGAGTCAAATCGCCATTTTACTCGGATTGAACTGAAACGCCGCGGCGTTATGGGATTGCTGAATTGCTTGCCAGTTTTGGGTTCAGTTCCTTTGAAGGGTGACGCAGCGCTGCTAACGAGGACACTCTCCTCCTCCTCCTCCTCCTCCTCCTCCTCCTCCTCCTTCCTCTGCAGGAGGAAAGGAGACGAGGTGATGAAAAAGGACATGTCCATACAAAGAGGTGTTGCGTTAAAATGTGTGCTGTACATTTACTTGATATTTATTACAATTATTTATGGTTGCATTAACTTAACTTTTACTGTCTTACCTCTGCACATCAGAAACTTAACATATCTAAAAGGATTATACAGATGTAAAGAATCAGATGGCATTTGAGATTTCTGTGTCACAATAAAGAAATGTCTTCATGTACGAACTCCGTGTCCTTATTGTCCTGAAAACGTCCAAGATGCAGTCGGTAAAAACAGACGGTCATTCATTCACACGGTTATACTGCAGCACCAGGAGAGAGCAGAGATATCCACAGACGCATGTCCACCTCTGTGGCACTAGGGGGCGATGTTCCTCCGTCACTGTTGGACCTTCTGCCGGCTGACCTCCATCACCTACAAAAACAATCGACAAACAGGCTGACCAGAGATCAGAGAGAGTCCAGAATACACCAACTAAAGATAGAGATGGAGTTCGACTCCAGAGAGTGACCCCAACTCTACGAGAAAAGAGCGAGATGATTGGCCGAGTTTTAATTGACAGTTTAATGAGTCATGAAATAAAAACAAACATTTCCTCTGACTAAAGATTGAAAATGAGGAAATAATGATGAGGAAAAACCTCTGAGGTGAGTTATGAAACCTCTCTGAGGTCCAGCAGGGACCCTCTTACTGTGGTTCCTCTGTTCACTTGACCACCGTCACCATGGAAACGTCTCTTTTCTCCTCTACGACAACAACACTGTCCGTCCTAAAGGGGCGGGGCCTCTGACGCCTGTTTTGTCTCCTTTAGGACGGGCTCTTTATGTAAGGCCCCTGACTCCGGCTCCTGTTATGTCACTGCTGCTAAACCGGACACCTTCTCAGAGCAGATGGTTCAGGACCAGGCCAGTTCCAGCCAGATCTGAGCTCCTGCTCCTCTCTGCTCCTCTCTGCTCCTCTCTGCTCTGCTGTCAGTCTTCTTCAGAAAGTGAGGAGGAGGAGGAGATGTTTGAGGAAAGACAAAAATAAACGAAGTAAACAGAGAAACTCTTCAGAGTCAGCTGGAAGGATCGGAGTCAGGCTGTTTTTTTTCAGTATTATTGAACATGGAGCAGCTGCTCATTTAAGACGAATCAAGACTCTGCAGAAAAAAAAGAATGAAAAGAAAAAAAAATTCAAAGTCCGGCCGACAAAGATACATAAATTATAAATGAAGACATGAGGATCAAATATTCAGTTCTGTTAATAGAGAGGATCTCAGAGTTTCGTTGGTCCAGTTCATGTTTTAAAATATCTTTTCATTATTTAACTTTTGGATATTCAGTTTCTTTTTAGACTGTTTACATTTATGTTTTTTTAAATCTTCCAAAGTGAAAAGATTTAACGATAATAATAATTTAACTTCAGTCCATGTTCTTTTGTTCTAAATAAATAATATCTCTCTCTTTTGCAGGTTTTACATCCAAACAACATTTCAAATAAATTTTCAACCTCAATCCAATAAAATTGAACATGAAAACAGTCAAAAAATAAATGTACAATTGTTTTTTTTTCACGGTTATAAAACACAGAAGAGTCTGAGAGGTCGGGTCGATGTTCTTTAAGAAAGTTGGAAAGATTTAATTTATCATTTTGAAATAAACTTCAGTCACTTTATTGTTGAGCAAATATTTTTTACCCTTTTCTAAAAAATTCCATTAAAAAGACCAAAAACTTTTGGCACCAGAATCAGAAAAACACTGAGATAGTTCTAAAACAGTCGGACCTTAGTCAGGTGGTCATCACCTGCTGCAGAGACCCTCAGACCCTCAGACCCTCAGACCCTCAGACCCTCACACCCTCAGACCCTCAGACCCCCAGACCCTCAGACCCTCAGA